ATTTCAGTGCCTAGTTCTCTCAGCCAGCCTGAAATGCCTTCCTAACACATTCAGGCCCTTTGCCTCTGGCTTATCTCAAACGTTACCTTGTGTGAGATTTCCCTATTTTTTTTTTTTTTCTCATCACAGAGGAACTAATTGCCGCCTTCTAGATTGTTCCCTCTCACTTTCTTAATACCACTGTTAGATCATTCACTGCCCTATTTTGGACTTTGCTGTATATGCTGATCTTTCTCCCCAAATCATGGGATCCTCAAGGAGTTTGACTGAGTAGGAGGGAGCATACGAGGTCTCTGCCAACCCTGCTCTTAAAAACAGAGATCAACTGTACAGGGGACTGTGGACAGTGCGCTCATATAGAGTCCTTAGAATTGATAGCGCCTTCCATGGGTAAGGGCTTCCCAGCTGGCACTAGTGGTAAAGAACCCGCCTCCCATGGGTCAAGATTGAAAACATGGAATAATTCACATCTGACCTTAAAATATTATTAACAATATTCTATATACCCTCTTTATGATCTTGAACATTTATAATGCCATTTTGCTAAAAGTGCTAGCAGTTGAAGTGAGTTTTTGTAGTTTCTTTACAGAAGAAACTTACGTGATGTTCTTTTTTTTTTTTTTTTTCCTTTTAGGAATAGGAAAGTCAAGAGGCTGAATTCTGAAGAATGTTTCCGAAGTGTAATCTGGCTGTCACTGGCTGGGTATGGAGGAGCATGAAGAAGCTATTTCTGTTACTTTCTCTCTTGCTGCCCCATGCGGCTCATTTGGAAGGCAAAAAGGATAATCAGTTCATCTGGAAACCAGGTAGGAATGTCCTGGATGTTCCTTTGTCCCATTTTCATTAATGAGAAGAATATTCTTTCCATTCTTGTCCTTCTTACCCATGAAGGAGTGAGAAATCTCCAGAGAGGAAAAAAAATAGGTTCTTCTTTATAATACATTTGATTCTTATTCCTATATAATTGTCACCTCCGTCCGTGATGCTTGTTATCCTTCTGAATTTTCATGTTGTTGTCAATTAAAGTTATGATCTCCATAGTTAGGTCTGTTTCTCTTTTGTCATTATATCACCACTGTGCAACACATTTGTAGTGAAAATGGCATCTGAATTTAGTTGATATCCTCAAAACGATTTGAAATATTAATGTATCTCTCTTTCTTTTATGGTATAAACTAGCTAGGTATTTATTATTGTACATTTTCTAGCATACATTCTGTATATCTAAGTTTTGAAGCATGGAAAATTATCCCAACAGCTTTGCCCATTAGTTGTGATTATACAGTGGCCTTAATGTGTTTGGAGACCCTTAGCTACCTTGTACATGAGTATATGAATAAGCTGAGGTTTGGAGACTTGCATATAAATTATGTTCTTTTCTAAATATTTCCTTAATGTGACTGTGGAAGAGCACTGTTTGATTTTAAAGGCTAATACTTTATCAACTTAAATTATAAACCCAAACATCTTGACTGTTTGTATCACTGATGTTTTTCTTTGTCGTAGATTTTAATTTTCTTTGTTTCACAATCAGATCATAAAATACATATTCCTGTTTCAAGAGTCCATTCTAGCAAATACAGATAACTTATACACCTAATATCTTAGAGTTGGAAACTGTGATGTCATAGAAGATCTATGGTCCTTGGAGAATTTTCATTTTAGGCTCATCATCTGTAAATTGAATAGACTGCAAACATATTATGTCACCATGGAAATATGTATAAAAGTGATATTTGTAATATTTAAATGGCTTTGCAAAAACGAAAGTGAATTATGCTTTAAAGTAAATTAAGTAAAACCCCAGCACCATTAGAGATACAGTCTGGAGGAAATTTAATTGCATTAAAGCCCTTATAAATTAATTTAATTGTGGACTCTAATACCACATTAGTGATTTTCATTTTTTACCTCACAGTAGTTTTAGAAAGCTTTGGAAATAGTTCTAAAAGTCAAGATTGCATTTTTGCAAAGGGGCTATTTTATTTTAGTCAGAAAAGACTACACATTTTATCAAATCTAAATAAGCACATTTATATGGCTGTACTCTGGTCTAAAGTTCTCAAAAAAGTGCAATTAAGATGGAAAGTAGAAAATCTGAAACGTGAATGGGATGTATTAAGAAAATGGGTTTATTTTGAAGCAAATTTTAAAAATAGGTCTGTTTTTCTAAAAGTAGGTCAATGGAACAAAATGGCACAGACCCACTCTACAGTGAGGGACACTGTGGTAACTGTCACACTTAAGTTTTAGAAGTGAGAATCCTTCCCATCAGATGCTTTGCACTGTTCAAAATGAATATCTATGGCATCACTCTCATTTTCCCCGGTATTCATTACTTCTTTATCTCATTTATGTGCCATCAAAAAGGTAATAATGTATGTTTTCCTGTATGGTTTCATTGATAAATTATGAATTTGTTCCTTGTATGTGATCAGTCATTTTAAAAGTAAAAAAGATCTCAGAGATATAAAATTAAAAGCCAGAGTCTAGGCTATGTATTCCAATTTCTTATATATCCTTCAGAAATATCCCTTGCACATGTAAGGAAGTACCTCTCTATGCATTAGTTATGTATATAAATCAGACAAAATGCACACACATATGTTTTATTATTATTACATTTTATGGTTCTGCCTTCTGGATGGGAAGCTGAGTGTGGAATGGTAGAGAATGTGGATCTGAAAATTTCTGATTTGTACATACCTTATGAACTTCTCTGGTGGCTCAGTGGTAAAGAATTCTCTTGCCAATGCAGGAGATGCTGGTTCAATCCTGGGTCAGGAAGGTCCCCTGGAGAAGGAAATGGCAACCCACTCCAGTATTCTTAGAGCCTGGGAAATTCCATGGTCAGTGGAGCCTGGCAGGCTATAGTCCCTAGGGTTGCAAAAGAGTCAGACACAATTTAGTGATTAAACAACAGCAACAACATGTACATACAGACAAACAGTACTTCATACAATCAGAATCATACTTGGCGGTATCTTACTCTGCATGTTGCTTTCAGCATGTAATGATGACTTGGTAAATATTACATATTAGTGCACATGGGTCAATTTCATCTTTAATTGGTTGCATAGTTTTCTTTTGCAGTTTTATGAATTTATTTAATCAGTACTCCATTTGCTTATCTATTCTTCCTCTATTGCATGGCCATTTCACTAGCTTTTAGTTTTTTGTTATTATGAATAGTACTGACATGAATGCACTATTCTTTAAAGCTAAGAGATAAATCAGTTTGAGAAGTCATATGCTCTAGAGCAATTCTGGATCATCACCTTGAAAGACAACCTCAGGTCTTTCCCAGGTGCTGTTAGTGGTAAAGAACCTGCCTACCAATGTAAGAGGTTCCGGAGACATTGATTCAGTCCCTGGGTCAGGAAGATTCCCTGGAGGAGGGCATGGCTACCCACTCCAATATTCTTGCCTGGAGAATTCTGTGGACAGAGGAGCCTGGAGGACTGTGGTCCATAGGATTGCAAAGAGTCAGACATGACTGAAGCAAGTTAGCCTGCTTAGAATCTGTACATACTTATGTGTGATTTATTATATTTTATTTGAATTAAAAACTCAATTGCATTTGAAATTAGCTGCATTTTTGGAGTATATTATCAAACCCAGTAACTCAGGTCCAGTATAATCTGGAATTTGAACAGATTTCCATGGAGACCCAGGTAAATATACCTTATTTTAGAAACCTAGAAACCATTCTCCCTATTTAGATTGTACTGCCAATCATTTAAGCTTTTTGCTTGTATCTATTGTTTTTCCCGCATCCATAGATTAGGTGTTAGTCAACCTCAGCCAAATCAGAGGCATTTCTAAGTGTGTCTTGGCTGTGGAAAAACAATGGATTGATGAATAATAAGTGAGTGATATATTATGTTGCTATGTTTTCTCTACCAAGAGAGAGTCTGGTGAGGTACAGACTGTGAGGTCATTGATCCAGCAAGGCTATTGAATGCCTGTCATCATTGTGATGAGATCCATTGATCTATATTTAGTGTTTGGCTTCTGTCAGCCAAGAAAGAAGGATCATGTCAGCAAAAGTATCAGATAAGGGGTGATGCTGTTTGTTGTTTTAGGTAAACATATACTATTGCTGTCTGCTTGCTTCCTGGAGATGAGCAGATTATGGTCTCTGAAGCTATGATAACTAGTGATCTCTTTAAAAATTCCTCACTACTGGCTCTGAGAGGTTGCTTCATTCTTCTGATCCTTGAGGAGACCTCACTATGTGCCAGGTGCTCTTACAGATAAGTTGAGAATAAAAGAGACAAATCCTTGATCCTCATGTACAGATTAATAAACACAGTCCAGAAGTTAAATGGAGAGTATATTGGTTGGTAATGAGGGCTTAGAAGGAAAGGTAAGGAAAGGAGGAGGAATATGCAATGATAGATGACTATTTTTTTGCAGTTTTTAAAATTTATTTTTTATTGGAATATATTTGGTTTGCAATGTTGTGTTAAGTTTCAGGTGTTCAGCAAAGTGATTCAGTTATATGTATATTCTTTTTCATATTCTTTTCCCATATCGGTATTACAAAATATTGAGTAGCAGTCCCTATGCTACAGGGTTCAACAAGAACAGGTTCAACAAGAACAGAGGTTCTTGTTGTTTATCTGTTGTGTGTATAGTGTGTGTATATGTTGCTCCCAAATTCTTAGTTTATCCCTCCTCCCCACCTTTCCTTTTTGGTAGTTGTAAGTTTGTTTTCTATGTGGGTAAGTTTGTTTCTGTTTTGTAAATAAGTTCATTTATATCAATTTTTAGAGTCCACACATAAGTGACATTTGAAATGGGTGGGCTAGGGGCTCCCTCACTGCGGAAGGGAATTTGAGTAAAAGACCTGAAGGAAGTGAGGGAGCCAGCCATGGGGATGTCAGGGTGAACATTCCACTCGGAGAGAACCACAGGGGCAAAAGACCCTGAGACAGATGTGGGTGTGGCTTATTTGAGGACCTGAGAAGAGTCCAGCGCTCTGGAGCAGGGCAAACATGGCGGGCAGTGATGGGAGGTCAGGTCAGAGGGGAAAGGGCACCCAAATCAGGTATGTCTTCATAGATCAGGATACAATTTTGGCTTTTGCTCTTGGGTGAGATAGAAAGGCTTGGGGGGTTTTCAGAGAAGGGTGGCATGATCTTTTTTTTCTTTTTTTTTTTTATAATACTTTTAATAGGATTATCTTGGGTGATCAGGAAGTGGAAACAAGGAGACTAGTTAGGAAGCTACTGTGGAAATAAGGACAGCTGATGATAATAGCTTGAACCAAGGCCATGTCAATGAAGGTGATAAGAAGGGGTTGAGTGTTGGATATATATAAAGTCTGGTTTTCAATCAGGGAAAATTTTGCCCAGCAAAGGACGTTTAGGATTGTCACAACTAGGGTGTGCTACTGACATCAAAGTAGAAGCCAGAGGTGTTGCTAAATGTTCTAAAACGCACAAGACAGACCCCCACAACAAAGAATTATCCCTCCCCTACTTGCCAATAGTGCCCAGGTTGAGAAACAGTGCTTTAAGGTAAAACCATCATGCTTTGCTCATGTAAGGAGGAGGAGGGAAAAAGAAAGGCTTGGGGGGTTTTCAGAGAAGGGTGGCATGATCTTTTTTTTCTTTTTTTTTAATAATACTTTTAATAGGATTATCTTGGGTGATCAGGAAGTGGAAACAAGGAGACTAGTTAGGAAGCTACTGTGGAAATAAGGAGAGCTGATAATAATAGCTTGAACCAAGGCCATGTCAATGAAGGAGATAAGAAGGGGTTGAGTGTTGGATATATATAAAGTCTGGTTTTCAGTCAGGGAAAATTTTGCCCAGCAAAGGACGTTTAGGATTGTCACAACTGGGGTGTGCTACTGACATCAAAGTAGAAGCCAGAGGTGTTGCTAAATGTTCTAAAACACACAAGACAGACCCCCACAACAAAGAATTATCCCTCCCCTACTTGCCAATAGTGCCCAGGTTGAGAAACAGTGCTTTAAGGTAAAACCATCATGCTTTGCTCATGTAAGGAGGAGGAGGGAAAAAGATACAAGGGCAGTGTCCTGAAGCTTTGCTCTGAGCAGCTGGGAGAGTGGACTCGCCAGCATTTAACCTGGGCTGACTGGGAAGGAGCCTGCGTGGGGGAATATGAGGAACTTGGCATAGGACAGGTTCGATTTATAAGCCTGTTGGAAATTCACATGGATATGTTGGTCAGGAAGTTGGGTCTGAATTCAGGAGGCAGGTCTCTCCTAGAACCAGATGTTTGGAAGTCCATATCAGCGAGGTCAAATTTAAATGTACAATGTTAGAAATGTAGAGGCAGCCTTGAAATCTGTAATCCTGTGTAGGTAAAGGGTAAGTTTCTAATGTACTTCCTTGGGGCCAAATGCCATTTAAAAAAATTTTCAGTGGTAAAAAACACATAACATAAACTTTACCATTTTAACTATTGTAAAGTGTACAGTTCAGTGACATTTAGTATATTCATGGTGTGTTGGAAACATTGCTACTATCTAGTTCCAGAACATTTTCACCATTCCAAATTACATTTTACAAGTATTTATAAAAAGACTGGAAAAGTATTTGCTATGAATAATGAGGTCTGAAAGGGGAAAAAAATCCATATTTGTTTCTTTGTAAGAGGGTCTTCTAATGGTCTTAAGTCATCTTCAGAGATCACTCAGTATACTAGGCAGAGTGTAATTTGTATACTTTGCACACAGGCAGACTCACATTCAAGTCCCAAGGATCTAGAGAGGAGAGAGTTCTTTAATCTCTCTGAGCCCTATTTATCTATCAAAATGAGGGCAGTACATACTTCAGAGAACTGTTTTGAAAATTACAGTAAAACAAATGTATTGAAAAACCTAGTGTATAGTAGCTACTCATAAATGTTAGCTGTTATTTTTATCATTGCTATATATTATTTGATATTTGAAATATTTATTGCTTTTATGTTATACAATTTTGTATAGTTTTTTCCTTTAGACTCAAAAAAGAGGTGAAATCAAACTGACAGCTATATGTACTCTATTAGTAAATGATCACAAGTAATTTGTCTGACTTTTTAGCTCTAAAACTTTCTACATGAGACTCATGGAAAGTTTAATTTCAGTAGATCCTTCCCAGTGAATAAAAAGGGTGAAAAAAAATACCTGTGTCCTAGGAACTAAGTAGATAAGTCAAAATTAATCAATCTTTTTGAAAGAAAAAAAGATTATGAAAATGATGTTGGATAAGAAAAAAGGATCTTAGATTAATATTTGATTATAGATTAAATAATAATGTTTTCAATGTTGAAAGGAATTTAAGGAAAAATGATAATTTATATATTTGCATATATTTAAGTTTACAACTTTCTTAGAAGAAAGCTGTTTTTTTTTAATATGTGCTAGAGTTTTGTGAAATATTTCTTCTGAGAATTTGATTAAATTGGAATCATTTTGGTTACATCTATTGATATTAATTTGTCTTAGAACCATGTGTATAATAAATTCTCAGCGGTGTTATTTCTGTGATATCAAAAAAATATAGACTTACATGGCATGGGATTCACTTTTAATTGTTTTTCCTTGGAGACCACAAGCACTAATTTTATAATGCTCTCAGTAAGTCAGAAAAAGTCTATATTACCTAAATAATTTGAACTAAATTACTCTGATTTTTTCTAAATAGTACTAAATGGAGGCTCCCTGAGGAAAGAGATGTTATTGAGTTTATTCACTGATACATTCCCAGTACCTAGAACGTGAATAACTGTTGCACAAAATATCCCTAGCACATTAAGTACTTGTAAAATGAGGGCCACTCTGTGTGTGTGTGTGTGTGTGTGTGTGTGTGTGTATTTATGGAAGTTGAGAAGTAAAGAGTAAAGAGACAGAAGAAATAGAACATAAGATCCTTGTTATTCTCGAACCTGAAATATATATTGAAGAAAGGATATGAAATGATGAAAACCAAAGTCAACCTTATAAATCAGTAAATATGAAAATTAATGATCCTTATTTTCTTGTTTCTTGGTTCCAGTACCATTTTTGATCATCTCTAGAAAAGGTATTGAATACAACTGTTATAAAAAAAAATAGATACACAGAGTAAGAAATTTATTTCTGTAATTCTTATGTTGAGATATTACAGTTGCATGTTGTCTTCTATTTAATTTCCTCAGAGGCAGCCAGTTTCGACTTTTTGCTGTTTATCCTTGTGTTTACCTCCATATTTCTAAGTAATGTACTCATTATTGATGTTCCTTGATTTATGTCTTGAATATTTGCAATTGATTTTCTCTTATGTTACTTGAGACTTTCTCTCTCATCTACATACCTCTTTCCCTACTCACTGCTCCCATGAAAGCAGTTCTATCAGAATACTTGTATCGATGAACAGCGACTGTGTTGTTATTTCTACACAGATACCGTTGTCTGCCGAGTCAAGCAGTGTACTACTGCCTCCTTTCAACTTCTCGTTTTATATAGAAATTAAAAATTACCTCATCTTTTCTTCTCTTGGCCTTCTTCGAGCGTACTGCTGCTTTCCCCCGATGCTCCAGTTGACATGCTCATTATTCGTTTTTGAAATTTCAGAACAGTTCGAAACCCTCTATTATATTTTTCCTTTGGGAGGTTATTTCCACAGCCCGGTGTCCTGCATTCAGTGTGGACTGCCGCAGTTTCTCATCCTGAACTCCTTGTTCCCTGGTTTTGTGTTTCTCTGCTTTTGTTGCTTTATTTTCTAGAACTGCTAAAATAGGATACACGGGAAGCAATTTTTCATGTCTGAAAGGGTCTCTGCTTGTCATATACTTGACTGATAGCTTGGGTGTAGAGTTCAAGGTTAAAAAGCGCCTTTCCCTCGGAACTTTGAAGGCTTTGCTCCGCTGTATTCCAGCCCCGTGTGTTGTTGCTAGGAAGGTTTGTGTCCTTCTGATCTCATCTCTGTGTGTTGCGTCTTTGTTCTTTTCCTCTTTCTGAATCTTCTTTTTATCCACAAAATTCTGAGATCTCTTAATTATGTACTTTGGAGTGAGTCCTTTCACCTTTATTTTATTGGCCTTTCAGTTCATTTCAGTTCAGTTCAGTCGCTCAGTCATAGCCGACTCTCTGCAGCCCCATGAATCACAGCACACCAGGCCTCCCTGTCCATCACCAACTCCCAGAGTTTACTCAAACCCTTGTCCATCGAATCGGTGATGCCATCCAGCCATCTCATCCTCTGTCGTCCCCTTCTCCTCCTGCCCCCAATCCCTCCCAGCGTCAGGGTCTTTTCCAATGAGTCAGTTCTTCTCATCAGGTGGCCAAATACTGGAGTTTCAGCTTCAGCATCAGTCCTTCCAATGAACACCCAGGACTGATCTCCTTTAGGATGGACTGGTTGGATCTCCACGCAGTCCAAGGGACTCTCAAGAGTCTTCTCCAACACTACAGTTCAAAAGCATCAATTCTTCAGCGCTCAGCTTTCTTCACAGTCCAACTCTCACATCCATACATGACCACTGGAAAACCCATAGCCTTGACCAGAGAGACCTTTGTTGGCAAAGTAATGTCTCTGCTTTTTAATATGCTATCTAGGTTGGTCATAACTTTCCTTCCAAGGAGTAAGCAGAATATTTTACCAGTATGCTCATGCTTTGCAGTTCTGAGATTTATTTTGTGTTGTCTCTCTTCCTCCTGAAACGCCTTAGATAGCTGTTTTACCTCCCTAATTGATCTTCAGTTTTCCCGTTTTTTTTTTTTTTTAAATTTTGTTTGCATTTTTATTGTAGTTTGTAAAATATTTATTCTGTTTCATCTTTCAAACCTTCCTTTGAATATTTTTTATTTCAGTGAGCTCTATACTTTTAAAATAAAGGTATCTTTCATGTGGACCATTTTTAAAGCCTTTATTGAATTTTTTACAATATTGCTTCTGCTGTTTATATTTTGAGCTGTTTGGCAGTGGCGTATGTGGGATCTTAGCTCCCCAACCAAGGATTGAACCCATACCCCCTACATTGGAAGGCAAAGTCTTAACCACTGGGCCACCAGGAAAATCCCTGTTTTGTACTTTGTAAAATTGAATCTTCTTCACAGATGCAGTGTGCTTTCATTTAGAGGATGTTGTTAATAATTTAGCTGTTTCCTTTTTATGCTCTGTGCCATTTATGCTTCCTCTAAATCTATTTTCTTCTTTTATTCATTTATTTGTTTGATCATAGCTTCTGCTGTGGGGAGCTTTCTTTTAATGTCTATTGGTCATTGGCTATCTCTTTAGTGTTTTCGATTATTGAGGGTGAGACTGTAAAAGCTAATTGACATTCTGTGTACCTTACTCAGATGTTTGGGCTTCACTGTCAGACTCCTCTAAGTCGTGAGCTGGCTTTTTTATTGGAAGATGGGTTTCTCAAAAGTTTATATCCATCAGTACCTGAAGGTATTTTCTCCAGGGCTTATTATGGGTGTTATTTAAAGTGAAGGTTAAGCTGCTGTAACAATGATGATCCAAAACATAAGGCTTTAAAAAATTAGCAGCTCCTATCTCACTCATGAGAAGGTTTCATCATGGTCCAGATTGACCAGTGGTTCTGCTCCATATGTCCATTCAACCACAAAGCTTTCTTCCATCCTGTCAAAGGACATTATCCTTCTTTGCCCATTCAAGCTGGATCACAGACATTTCCATATTTTAGATGAAATGAGCACAAAGCTAAAATCTGAAAAAAGACATTTCAACAAATGGTATAGAAGTTCCATACATGTTCCAGTTCTAACAGCCACTCCAAACATGGTTTCAAGCAACTGAAGACTGTCTTCAATTTGGCTTTTGCATCTGGGGGTGGATGGGTGCAGCTGGGTGTTCTGTCTTGTGTTTGGATAAGGGCAGAGGGTGACTCATCAGAAAGGCTTCTTTATCCACTTATCTGGTACCTGGACTGGGAAGACTCATACAGCTGAGGCTGGAATGACGGGGACTCTCTCTTCACATATCTTTCTCTGTGTGTTTTTGTCTGCATGTTCTCTCTATATGGAGGCTGCAGGGTGATGGGAGTTCTTACATGATAGCTGATGCTTCCAAAGAGAAACAGGCAGGAGTTGCATGGCTTTTTCTAATGCAGTCTAGGAGTCACTCATGGTCACTAGTGCTGCATTATTTTGGTTGGAAGGGCGCCTTTAAACAGGGGACCTAGATTTCATCTTTTGATGGGAGGAGTGGCAAAGAATTTGCAGATAGATGTTTTACATTTGCCATGATCCATCATTTCTGGTCACATTCTGTTGGTGAGAATGTGTTCATATGGTTGCTGCTAGCTGCAAGGGAAGATGTGAATTGTAGTTTCTAGTTGGACAGCCATGTGAGAAGGGAAAGTAGATTCAGTCAGGACTAACAGCCTTCATAACAGGGACTGATCAGTGTTCGGGTCATTCAGAGATTTCCAGAGAGAGAGAGGGAGACAGAGAGGGAGGGGAGGGGTGGGATTGATTTGGTGTGAGGAACTGGCTCCTGCAGTCGTGGAAGCTGAGAAGTCTGGAGGCCAGCAGGAAGGCCGTTGGTGCAGTCCAGCCTGAGCCCGGATACCTGCGAACCAGGGGAACTGATAATGCAAGTCCTAGTCCAGGTGCAGGAGGAGAGCGGTGTTCCAGTTCGAACAGGCAGAGAGTAAGTTCTTCCTTCCTTTGTATTAATATTTTTACCCTATTTAGACTTCCAACAGATTGGATCATACCCATCCACACGGAGGAGGGCCATCTGCTTGACTCAGTCTACTGATTTAAGTGTTAATCTCATCTGAAAGGACCCTCATAGCTATACCCATAAATAATGTTTAGTCTGGGCATTCTGTGGTCCAGTCAAGTTGACACATTGAAATTTACCATCATAGTGTCTCCTGGAATGAACCCTGCTACACTGGACTACTGATAAAAGATTAAGGGCAGAATCTTAGCAGAAATGGCTCAACACTTAGTCCTCAGCATTTCACTTAATTCCTCCCTTATCTTTCACTTTGTGTGCCTGCCTCAAAAATATCCATATTGCGTTCTGAATTCTATTGTGTCTTTTCCTACAGATGTTGAGAAAGGGACAGAGCAAAAGACTGGGGGGACAGAGGAAAGCATTGTGTATGTGGGGGATGCTAATTGATTTCATTTATAGGCTTTAAATTATCCCCCATTTCAAACCATAGACCTTATTACTTTTCTCCTAGGGTCTCTAGGTTTCAACTTGCCCAGAGTTCTGCTAGTATAAATTAGCTTTCTCTGTTGTATTCATCTGTGGGCAGAATCTCTGGTTTCCTTCACATTTCAAATTACTCACTGCTCCTCTTCCTGCTCTGAATGTTCCAAAGTTCAGAGCTACTTGTTCACCTCTAGCTCTATGTTTTTGGCCCTTATTGAGTTTTATCTTGTAATGCCTTTACTGTCATTTCAAGAGAGTGTCAGGAGAGGGGTGAAAAAAAAAATATATGTGTGTGTGTGTCATGTCCTCCAAGTTAATTGGACATCTTTTTTTTTTTTTTTAATTGGACATCTTTAACTTACTTGTCCTAAAACTTCTGTTATTTATTATGGAATAAAAGGATGTTGAAATGTTAATTTTTTGTGGTGACTGACTCCCTTATTCTGTTTGGGCATGTACTACAAAATCTGTTTATAACAAAACTGACTTTCCCCAGGTCAAAATTTGTTTTAATTTAAATGTTCACTGAGTCTGTATGATTGGTTCAGACTGAGCTGTTGGCTTAGAGATAAATAGGGGAAGAATTTCTCACTGAAGTTCAGATTATCAATGGAGATTTCTTTATGACCCCCTGAAAACTTTTCCTTTCATGGTAGAATTCAAATATTTAACATAAGGTTGAATTATCCTTAACTAGGAAAATAGAGGATTCCATTCAAAGAAATAGAGAAGTCAAAGATGAAAACAAGCCTGAGCTATCAAAGTGGGATTGAAATATGAATTAAAGACCAAAAGGCAGTATTACAAATTCATAAAGCAACCTGAAAAACTTACATTGTAAAGCTCTTCATGATCTTATCTACCATGAAGCATAGGCAGTGTTGATTGGAATTAAAAAACGAAAAAAAAAAAAAAAAAAGAAGCCTACCTTCTTGTGGCTTGATTATAGATTTACTTAGTTCATGAAGTTATTTTGATATATGAACAAAGTTCTCCAAACTACAGCCACAGGTGACATCTGTGTGATAGATGTTAGTGCCACAGATGCTATCCAAGACTTAATCAGAGAAATAATTTCAAAAGTGTGTGTTTAATGCCATTCATGTTTACTATTCTCTTTAATACTATATCCGTTAAAGCTTATTTTCATAGCAAGTGTATGAATATGAATTAACCATCTCATCCTTTTGTTTTTTTTTTCCTCTTTGGAATTACTATGGTAACCAAACTGTGGTTCCTATAGGGAATCTGTGATATTATTACCCCCTTATCTTGATTCTCCCAAAAGAGGAGAATAATAAGCTGTTGTGGAAATAAGTAGATTTATCACCCAATGGTGAATTTCATTCATGGATACACTTCACTACAAAAGCAACACAACAACTGGTAACAATAACATATGGATATGTTTTTTTGTGTGGATTTTTCCCCAAGGTTAATAATTTTTTTAATTGAATGCAGCTGCTCAAGAATTTTTGTTGCTAAGTATGCTCACTTTTTGAAAACAAATGCTTCCTTCTAAATCACTTTTAGACAGATGTTTTGAGGCTTAATTACTTAGCTGTATTTGTAGAGAAGCTGTAAACAATAGAGATGTTGGCTGCATATACCAGGTAGGGTGATGGGGTGGTTCAGATCACAGATACCAAAGTCAAAACTGTCCGGGTGCTATGTGAAGGTGTGTGACCTCAAACTTATGCCTTTACTTTCTCATCAATAAAATGGAAATAAATGAAGGAGTCTATGTAAAGCATAGTTCATATTCTATACTACATACTCAAGCGTACATTTCTATACCCAAAGTATTACATGATGAAAGTCACATTAAGTACTCAATTAATGCTACCTTTTTATTTGTATTTAACGGATGCTACTCTAACAGATTATTCCCTATTCCTCCCCCCTGACATGTGGAGCTCAAGTTAGTTTGGATATATAGAAATGCAGCTATAATGAATATAATTTCTCTCAAGATGTCATTTGCTATTCTTTTTCTTCATCCCAATGTTCTAAAATAAGTTATTTTAAAAACTTCCATTTTGACCTTCATCATGCACTAGCTGTTTCAAATATTGGATCTCCAATAATATCATCCCCTGATATTTGTTTATAGAATTCTTTTATTGTTTTTCAAAGCAAAAGCTGGAGATGTTATTCAAAATGGTTACTGAGTAGAATATGGTCTCAAAGCTTTCTAAGAGCCAAGAATGTGTAGCCTGTTTCACCAAACTTAGGATTGAACTTAGATGCATCTATATGATTGATTTTCTTCATCTTCAAATTTGGAATGAAAAAGATCAAGGATGTGAGTGACAACTTTATATTTGATGATGAGTTAAAAAATTAACATAATACATTCTATTTTATTTATCTCACATGGTCCTGATAATAGCCTGAGATGTTCTGGGAAGGGTAGGGAAGAAACCAAGTTTGAATAGCATAGATATTAAGTGATGGAACCAACACTAGCCCACTGAAGATTTCAAATTTTGGTTAGGTTTTCCTTATGCAAAGATTTTTCCTTGTTTGAAACTTTGAATTTTTGAAACTTTGAATCCTTGTTTGAAAGTTATAGTTACATATGGTGTTGCCATTCTCAATAGAAAGGCTTGTGAATCAAAAGAATTACCACTTTTTATTCCTTAAGATTTCAGGTTAATTGGTTATCATTTTGGTGGTTGATAATCCAGATAAATGTTTAATGCCAAGTGGAGGCTTCTCTGCAGCATTCTATGCTGTTACAATACTAGAAGTTATTAGCATGAAAGAATGATTCTTTTTTATCAGCTTTATTGAAATATAGTTTATATGCCCAACATTTACCACATGGTCGACACCGAAATCAGATTGATTATATTCTTTGCAGCCAAAGATGGAGAAGCTCTATACAGTCAGCAAAAACAAGACTGGGAGCTGACTGTGGCTCAGATCATGAACTCTTTATTGCCAAATTTAGACTTAAACTGAAGAGAGTAGGGATAACCACTAGACCATTCAGGTATGACCTGAATCAAATCCCTTATGAATATACAGTGGAAGTGAGAAATAGCTTTAAGGGACTAGATCTGATAAACAGAGAGCCTGATGAACTATGGACGGAGGTGCATGACATTGTACAGGAGACAGGGATCAAGACCATCCCCATGGAAAAGAAATGCAAAAAGGCAAAATGGTTGTCTGAGGAGGCCTTACAAATAGCTGTGAAA